GAGAGAGAGAGAGAGAGAGAGAGAGAGAGAGAGAGAGAGAGAAGAGAGAGAGAGAGAGAGAGAGAGAGAGAGAGAGAGAGAGAGAGAGAGAGAAGAGCACAGCAGAAAATTATGAGTGACTTTTCCATTGTTTTTTTTCCATCATGATAAAAATCCAACGGAGCAGGTATAACCCAACGACCATAATTCTATTAAACGTACACTTCTTATAATGTATCAACAAAAAAAAAAATGTAGGAAAAAGAGAAAGAGACGTAAAGATGGAGAGCGAGAGAGAAACGGTAAATCGAATTTCCAAGTCACGTGAATAATGCCAGCCTATTCCAAGCGTTAGCGCCGAGGCTTCGACCACAAGCATGCCGATACCCGGCGATTTCGTCCCCAATGCCAGTCATAACGAGCTTCAATGTCACCGTGATGCTGGGCGAGGTGACGAAGCTCTTATCGACCCCTGTATTTGTCGTGGGAAGGTCGCCGCGTTGCCGCCGCGACGGCACTGAAGCTTCGATATTCTCGCTGCCGGCTCCCGTTACGAGGCTTCAGTGAGGCCGCAAGGAGCGACGCAGCGAGGCTTCAGCGTGACGATAATGAGGCAATTCGTGAGTCGTAAAAAGGGGGCGTTGCGAAAGCCTCAAGGGAGCCTCCTGGGCTGGGACGGACCGCGGCGACTCACTCGGCTCGGGCGTGCGTCGCCGCTCACGGTCGCGCGGCGGCGGCGGCGGCGGAGCCAGCGGCGGCGGCGCTGGTGGAGGCGGCAACAAACCGAATCGTTTTACGGTGAACTTTTTGGTCAGTGGATTCAGTGTTGCTTTGACATTCAATTGTTTTCTGCGCATGATATTCACTGTGTTCTCTTCTGGTCTTCCTTAATATCGACCTTTTATTATTCCCATTCCCTTTTACATTCTCTTTGCTTTATGTATAACCTTACATCCATCATTAGTTTATCATCATCAGCCTTATCATCTCCCCTTCTCTCAATTCATACTTCGACACAAACGCCAAGCGTCCAGCAAAGGTCGTGGAGAAAGGAGGGAAGGGGAAGGAGAGAGGGGAGGGGGTTATCGACAATTTTATAAGGAGAGGGAGGAGGCGGGGGGCAAGGTAGGTGAGGAGGAGAGGGTAAAGGGGGAGGGGTGGAGAATGAGGGGGAGGCAATGTGGCACACGAGTCGATTACGAACGATATATGGAGATGATCCTCCGAGACAAATTACGAGCGATTGCTATGGCGATTACGAGCTGTAGGCTGAGCTAAACCTTATATGTATGGATGATATCATGAGCGAGACAGGATGGGCTATGTCACTCATGAGAGGACTCAGTAAAATTTCTTGGAAGTAAGAGCAGACGATGGGGAGAAGTAAGTAGAGAAGTAGAGACGAGGAGAGTAAGAGAAGATAGAGAGAAGTAAGAGAGATAGAGAGATAGAGTAAGCTGTATTATTATATATACTTAAGAGCGAGAATATTTAGTAAATAGAGATATCAGAGAGAAAGATCACAGGTAAAAATAGCCTAGTATAGGAGTACCCTAAGGTCGAGGTGTATAAAGCACAAGACACACATAGAGAGAAATCAGAAGAGAGATGGAAGAGAAGCGGAGAGCAGAGGAGGAGAACAACGAGGGTGGTTGGACACAGGAGAGAGGAGGAAGAGAGAAGCAAAAAAAATACAGAGCAACAGACACAACACACCCAGCCACACGAGCGAGTCAAACACAACACCACGACAATTCACGATCAAGACATTCACACACGAACGATTTAATGGCAGTCAGTACAGAACATCAAAACTACACACACAACACACCACATATATTATATATCACTGTAATGATAGTAATCAGGTAAAATGGAACATAATTTATATACGTAGGTAGGGGGAATCTCTAAGTACTTTGTATATTTATTCATTACTATATAGGCTTTTTTATAAAAAATGTAAAAACTGGGAAACTAGTATACATATGATAAATATATATATATTATATATACCAAAAAACTAACGAAGGCATAGGATACGTAGAGTATACAGGCGTGAGGGTAGAAAGGTGTGTGTGTGTGTGTGTGTGTGTCGTGTGTGTGTGTGTGTCTGTTGCGTTGTACTTATAAATTAATAACAGTAGTAAAAATAGTTTGTGTGAGTATACTCTCACTCAAATAAGAGTCGTGAGAGGAAGGAAGAGGACAGGAAACGGGACCAGAAAGATAGGACGCGGAGAGAACGTATGTCAATCGAGAAATACAATTGTTGCCAAGCACAAGATTAAAAGAGCGATAAACCACTCCAGCTTGTTCCTGCCGTATATATCATGATATACCAGCTATAATACATAACATACTCTATACTATACCAAATATATTCATATTATAAAGCATTATACAGTGGAGATTAGAGCTAATTAGTACCTGAAGCTAGTGAGTACAGATGGCCATTATTATGTATAAATATACGTATCGTACAACTCAGTTGTGGTAGTGAGGAGAGAATTAGGGAGGA